ATACACAGAAAGAGGGGCGGGAGCCAATAAGTGGAAAAAATGGCAATTTACATATGCACAAGCTCTTGGCAACTGAAGCAATGAGTGCCTATTTCATACTCGGGTCATCTGTCCCCGAGTCCAACCACGCAGCGTTCGCCACGGAACCAGCTCAGAGTTGGGACGTGATCACGTGAATATGGAAAGTAAAAACATTTACATAAGATGCAGTCCTTCCGTGATGTAACCTACTAGTCTGGTTCAGTCTTCCGGGCTTTCCCCTCCCCCTACGACTCCTTTAATCTTCACTTCAACGTATTTCCCTTAACAGTTTTGTTTAGACATGACAGAGGCATTTGACCAACACAAGCACTGACACATTTATATTAAAAAATAGTGCAAAATTTCAACATTTATATAAATAACTCTAAACCCCTGCTTTTGTTTTTTTTAATGTTTTTTGTTTCTTTTTCTTCTTCTTTTTTTTTACAATGCAATACATGCTTTTTTGAGCTGGCCCTCAAAAATTTGCCATATTTTAATTCTAGTTCAGAGAAAACAACAACAACAACAAAACACCCCTTTTTTTCTCAATAGGCCTCTTCTAATATAAAAATACTCCAGCTTCCCCAAACACACATACAGTTTCTCTTAATTTTAATATATATTTATATATATATATTTATATTTTGCAGATCTTTAAACAAATGTGTTTTTTGTGCAAATATTTTTCGTCTTTAAAGTTAAGTGAAATAAACAACAAAAAATGTAGCATTCGCACACGCAGCTCAACTAGAAACAAAATGAAGGGGGCAAGGAAGGGAAAAAAATATAAGAGGACCGCTGTAGATTTCATTTAAAAAAATTAAAAAAATTCTAGACAGAGCTCAACAAAGAAACGTGTTTTTTTTTTGCAAGCTTTGTTGGCGTTTGTGCATTCAGACCAAACATAACATGTAAATATTTATACTACACAAGAGCGGAGAAGGGCGTTTTTTTGTTCTGTGCACCCATTTCCCCTTCTCTCGATATCGTTCCCCCCTCCAGTCAACAAGAAGTGCAGAGTGTTTTTTGTTTCTATTTAAAAGGGGTGGCCTTTTTGTTTCTCTTTATCTTTGTTCCATCCCGTTGTGCTCTCGAGGCTACTGATTTGAGACGAAGGGTGGAGCCGGCCGCCCTCCAGTATTGAAGGCATCCCACTGTTATTCTGCTGGTGCTGGTAAAACGTCGAGCCGGGGAAATGACCTATGACCTCACTGTATGTGGGGGGCGGGCCTTCCATCCTGCCGTTGCTCCCGTAACAGGTTGCGCTGATGCCCGAATTGCTGCTGGGAGGGCAAGGCCCGCCGTACACTGAGTTATCTATCAGGTCACTGTCGAAGATGGTTCGGTTGGGAGGCGCTCGGACCGACTCCCTGTTGAGTTCCATCTGCTGCTCTGGATCCCGGAGCTGCAGTGTGCAGGGCCCCTGGTAAGGAGGGGGCTCTTCCCCATCTGATAGAGAGATGGTGGGTGGCAGGTCAATTTCGTGCTGCATATAAGGGTAGGTCGGCTGGAATCGGTTGAAACGGTCCCTCTGCAAGAAGGATGGAACTGCTAGCCTGTCCGTCGGTCTCGGTGTGTAGACCTGCTGCTGGAAAGAAGAGAAGGCAGAGACGTGACTTTCAGGGATTTACGGTTGCTGGCAAGCTGTGCTTCCTGCCACTGCTCCTTCAAGCAGAGGGAGAAGTTTTTTTTAAATAAAAAATTGCCATCATCACATGCAACTTAATTTCGCTTCCAGTGAAAAACCCAGAAGTGACATTGTGCTTTTCTAAAAACTGCCAGGAATTCTATGGTTTACCACAGAGCTTCCAGTGACTCCTAGAGCAGTTACACGTTTTTCCTAGAATCGACATCATCATGTGTAACCATGCCCCCCCCCCAATTTCACACAAACACAGATATGAACACATCAAGCTGCCTTATGCTGAATCAGGCTATTTCTCCATTAAGGTCAGTATTGTCTACTCATAGAGGTAGCAGCTCTCCAGGGTAGAGGTTGTTCACATCACCTCCTGCTCGATCCTTTTAACTGGAGACACTGAGTATCGAACCTGGGATATTCTGCATGCCAAGAACCTATTCTACCATTGACCCACAATGACTCTGTCCGCTGGGTGCCAGCTACTGGGTTGGCAACCTACAGGCATTTCATATGCAAGCCCACAAGCGGCACATTGGGCACATTTTCAATGTGCTCCTTACCTCCGTTACACCATTTCCGGACACTGTGCTTTCTGAAGGCCACAAGCTTCCTTCCTAAAGTTGAAAAGAACAAGAAAAGGTTTGAGATTTCCTTCAGTACAGAGCCGCTTTCTTTCACCCTTCAACCGTAATGAATGTATAAAATCAAAGCATTTACACAGCATGCTTCAAATATTCAACGTGCTTCAAGTACTTATGTTTCAGATAATTCTTGTAGCAGACCTGCAAGGTAGGCCAATATTCTCAACATGCTCATATGAAAGACTCAGAGAAGGGGCCTGCTTAAGGGATGCCAAACGAAGTTTGTCAACTAGTTCTTCTGGAGTTCAGAGATCATATTCTGAGGGGACCATAGTGGCTAACTGAACGGGAAAGATGAAAGGCACCAAAAATGAAATTTCCTCTGTATGTCTCTACTTTGATACACAAGGGAGCTGAGGGGGAGTGTAGGGTTGCCAAGTCCATCTTCCACCCCCAGTGGGGGACTTTGGGGGCGTTCCTGGAGGGGGCGGGGCATCCCCGACGTGATGACGTCACGTTGGGGATGTCCGCCGCCCCACCTGCCCGCCCGCGTGTTGGATCTCCAGAACGGCAGTTCCCTGCCTGCACTTAAAGGAGCCGGCGTTTCCCTTTTAAATGCAGGAGCCAGCGTTTCCCTTTTAAATGCAGGAGCCGGCGTTTCCCCTTTAAGAGCAGCCGCGTTTCCCTTTTAAGAGCACGAAGCTGGCATTTCCTTGGGGCTTGGGAGGAAACACGGGTTTCACACACTTAAAGGGAGAAGGGTGGGTGGGTGTTGGGGCGGGGCTTCCCCCGCCGGCCATCTGGCCGGGGCCGGGTAGACCCCCCCAAAACGGGGGACCCCTGGCAAAATGGGGGGGGGTTTGGCAACCCTACACTGCACTCCTTCCCTTGGGGCTTCTGGACTTTCCCTCTGGTGTCCTCAACAAAAGTTAGCGATTTGGAAACCTCCACGGGATTTTCTTGACTCTCCATTATAGCAATCGAGGCCTGTACAGCCTGAAGACTAGGCCTTGCTTTTGACCTTTGATCGATTTCTTGTCGTTCCCCCCCCCAAGCCGGGGGGAGCTCTGTTTCCCCTTCAAAGACCTTTAGAAACGCAGGGGCACAAAAAAATCCCCACAGAAATCAATAAAATTAAGCAGGAGAAGAAAATTACTCTCAAAATTAGAAGCTCTGAAGAACACATCCTTCCCTGCTCGTGTCTCACTATAATGGTAACAGAAATTAGTATTGCCAGCCTGCAGGTAGTAGCTGGAGATCTCCTGGGGTCTCCTGGGACAGAGATCAGTTCACCTGGAGAAAATGGCTGCTTTGGAAGGCAGATTCTATGGCATTCTATCCCATTGGACCCCTTCCCCTCCCCAAAGTCCGCCATCTTCAGGCTGCACCCCCTAAGTCTCCAGGTATTTCCCAACCCAGAGCTGACAACCCTATCAGAAATTCATGAACACAGTTCTCTCTGTTTAGAAAAGAAATGACTTAAAAGGGGACATGCTAGAGGTTTATAGAATTATGCCTGGGAGGAGAGAGTTGACAAAGAGGGCCTTTTCTCTCTCTCCCAAAATACTAGAACTTGATGGCATCCAATGAAGCTGATGGGCAGCAGGTTCAGGATGGACAAGAGGAAATACCTCTTTACACAGAGAGTGATTAAAAGGTGGAATCTGCTGCCAGAGGATGTAGTGATGGCCACAGACTTTCAAAGGGGGTTAGACAGATTAATGGAGGATAGGTCTATTAGTACCTACTAGAGATGTGAAGGCCTGGAAAAAAAACGGAAAAATTCGGAAAAAAACGGTTTTTCCCCTGTTTTTTTCTTGAAGCTTTTTTGTTTTTTTCCAAAAAATTGAAAAAAGAAAAGAAAAGAAAAGATTATGGAACATTTTATTTCAACATGATGAATAAAATAAAAAGACAAGGTGTTCAAATATTTTCCAAATCATTTCTAATTATATATATATATATATATGGTATCAGATTGATCTAATTTCTGTGCACTGAGGACAAGCAAGTCCTAGGTTACAAACTGAACTCTCCAATGCAAGAACAAGATGCATTTCTTCCTTTAGGAGGTGCGATTGTCAGAAGAAAATAAAAAAGTTTCAGTTTTGTTTTTGCATGTGGGTGGGTATTCTGTTTGTAATAATTGTTTGGATACACTATATTTTTAATATGCTAGTTGTGATAATTTCATGCCAAGTAAAAATGTCCATAGTCATATTTTATGTTCCTAAAGTAAGAGAATGACTTTCAACCTAGAAAAGACAAAAGAAATGCTAATGTAGCATTTTTTTCAATTTTTCCGAAAAATTCTGTTTCCCCCCGAAAAAAACCCGGGTTTTTTTCTGAGCTTCAAAATTTCCGGAAATTTTACATCTCTAGTACCTACTATCCATGTTGACCTTGGGTCACCATGAGAGCCAGTGTGGTGTAGCAGTTAAGAGCGGCGGACTGTAATCTGGAGAACCAGGTTTGATTCCCCACTCTTCCTCCACATGAAGCCAACTGGGTGACCTTGGGCCAGTCACAGTTCTCTCAGAGCTCTCTCAGCCCCACCTATCATGGGGAGAGGAAGGGAAGGTGATTGCAAGCTGCTTTGAGAAACCTTCGGGTAGAGAAAAGTGGGGCATAAAAACCAACTCTTCTCTTCTAAAGGGAACTTCCATGTATATAGAGAATAAATCTTTGAATACTGGTGCCAGGACGCAAGGCCTTGGCCTTCATGCCCTGTTGTTGGTCCTCGGAAGGAACTGGTCGGCCACTGTGTGAGACAGGATGCTGGACTAGATGGACCCTCACTGATCTGGTCCAGCAGGGGTCTTCTGACGCTCTTATGATTAGAAGCCCTACCTTTTCAGGATTCCAGACTGCACGGAGAGAGGCTTCTGCATTTCCATTTCTGAAGGATGAGCACAGCCTGGGCCCCAAGGCTTGCTACAGCAACCTCACCCCCTTGCCCAAGCACATGCCTAGGTTCATTCCAGCCATTTAGAGACGGGAGCTCACTCCATCATGCGGCAACTCGGGGGTCTCGAACTGCTGAACTACTGACCTTCCACAGCCCGCAGTTCAGCGTCTTAACCACTTGAGCCACCGCAGCTCCTGATAAAGGAGTCAAGGAGAGGCTAAAATCATGGCACAAATGCATAATGATTGTAATGGCCGTGTATGCGGGATAAAATGCCTCCCAAATCCATTCTACCCTGATATCCGAATTCTCCGACTCTGCATACAAACCTAAAGGCAGTTCTGCCACTGGCAGGTGGGGGAGGGGGAGGGGAAGGGAGAAGAAGTGATTTATATGGAAATGAGATGGCCCCGATGCTTTCCCTCCTTCCCCCTCTTTTATAGCAAACCTTGTCTCAGAAAGACTACATAGAAGATAAGGAGAGAGCGATAATGGACTGCCAAAGTTGATTTCATACGGCATATTAATTCAGTTGCAACACTGGAGTGACGCCAGCAATACAACGAGCTCAGTTCAGAAGTCACAGGAAGCCACGATTTCATTTAACTGTGGGTTGGATCCTGTGGATCTGACCCGCGAACGGCAGTGCTTTCTTCTGGTACAAGGAGTCTGGGGGAGGAGTCTCATGTATCGGGGGCAGGGCTTTTTTTCCTGGGGAATGAGCCGGAATGGAGTTCTGGAACCTCTTCGACAAAATTCTTTTAAAAATGTTTACAAGTTCATGAGTTTTCAGTAAAGGTTTCCTTTGCTTGAAAGTTAGTCGAATCCGACTCTAGGGGGTGGTGCTCATCTCCATTTCCAAGCCGAAGAGCCAGCACTGTTCGAAGACTTCTCCATGGTCATGTGGCCGGCATGACTAAATGCCGAGGCACATGGAACGCTGTTACCTTCCCACTGAACAGGTACCTATTTATCTACTTGCAATGTCTTGCTTTCGAACGGCTAGGTTGTCAGGAGCCGGGGCCAGAGACGGGAGCTCACTCCGTCATGCGGCATTCGGGTCTCGAACTGCCAAACTACAGACCTTCCTGTCTGCAGCTCAGTGTCTTAACCTCTGAGCCACCGCAGTCCCGAGTTTTCAGTACACAGATTGAAACCCTCTCGGGAGTTCTGGCACCCCCCCCCCCGAACTCCGGTCGGGGGAATGTTCCTCATATGGGAGGAAAGCTTCGCCCATAGTGGAACGGATCCTCAGGCTATAAACCTAGGATTAGTGTGACGATTCAGCCATGGGCTAGTGCACTAGTAGTGGTTAATTGCAGGGGTCATTTCGTAGAAAAAGAGGTGCAGGAGCTCATTAGCATAACATTTGCCCATGCCACACCCCTTGACATCACCAGAAGTGTGTCAGAAGGCAACACCCACCGCTCAGGCTCGCCTGGACTGTTTTGGATTGATAGCTATTGTGTGTGGGGGGGTGCAGATCTGTCCCCGCAGAGGAGGGAGAGCTTGTACCTGAATAAAACTTGGGTCTTAAAGGTGCCACTGTTTTAAACCGGGGGGCCGGGGGGGGCCCTCTGCAACTTACCTGGCTGCTTCTTGCTCTGACTGAGGGCTGATGGGAGCAGGGGGTGGGGCTTCTTGCATGTGCCCACCCCCTGGGCTATTTACTGCCGGAGCTCCGCTCCTGTGCGCTCCTGCAGGAAATGACCCCTGATTGGCATATGGTAAGCCAGGATCTGAATGGTTTGACATGGGTTGATTAGCCACAGTTTTTATCGACTCCCTCCAGTACCAGTGGGGCCTGGAGTTCTTCTGGAATGGCAGCTGATCCCAAGACTACACAAACCAGTTCTCCTGGAGGACATGGCTGCTTCGGAAGGTGGACTCTACGGCATCACGTATCTGCTGAGGTCCCTCCTCTCCTGAAACCCCACCCTCCCTAGGTTACAGCCCTATATCTCCAGCCCAGCGTTGGCAAACCATACTTGGTTATGATTTTATCTGACCTATTCCCTGGTGCTACCTTCACCTCAACACATGCTTGGATGGCAAAGTTGTTGCTTCAGAGGTGGGGGAAAGATGCAACTGGAGTTTCCTGGAGCAAACCAATTCAGAATCCAGT